TATTTAACAAATAGATCTCATTTTTCCGTGTGTGTGTACTCTAATAGATACACAGATGACGTCAAAATGTAGTGAGAACAAAAAAGTACGCACGAGACGCAGTCGAGTGCGTGACTGTTGTTCTCACTACATTTTGACGTCATCTGTGTATCTATTAGAGTACACACGCACGGAAAAATGAGATCTATCTGTTTTATACAATTGACGTAATCCGTGTATCTATACTTTGATAACACACGAAAGCCAACCAATCAAAACGTCTGATTTTACTGAAAAGTTGTATAAAACAAGATATAACAATTAGACCCGACCCCAAAGGTCGAGTGGGCTATTTAACGTAGCCCATGAGCGCGAGAGGTCTAATTGTTCTAGTATCCAACAACTTTTTAAATTTTATTCACGTTTTCTAGATTTAGCCTGCGTTACATCCGGAATATTCTTTGATATTTGTGAAATTTCCGGGAAATTTCCAAAATATTTTCATTTTTTGCAAATTCATTAGAAAACTAAACCAATTTACAAAGCACTCGTGACTTGATAAAATCACTAATCAAATGGAAAAATCACACAAAAATCTCATAAATCGTCAACAATTTATAAAATACTCATTAAATACCTGCATACTAGTGTAATACATTTAAAAGCTTGTCAAGTTTTCATCTTCGTTTGTAAACAAGAATGAAAGTAGCCAGAGTTGAACATTGGAACCTCGTTTCTTGAGGAAGAGTAGAGATGTTCGCCTGTCATTTTTTTCTTGAAAATTCCACACCAGAACAAATTTTAGGATGAATATATTAAATGTTTCTGTATTGAGTTATCCCAGCTAGTTTTTGATTGAAAATATCATTATCCACCAGTACGCTTTCTTTCTAAAGTAAAGATGAAGTAGGCCTGATGCTTGACAAGTAATTACTATGGACTTCACACGCTAGTCCAAATGAGTCTCAAAATCAGAATTTAAACTTGTTTTTGATTCTTTGGTGACAACTCCTCAAAGTCTTCATTCCATAGATGATATTTCTAATCGAGATAAGGGTGGGAAACTGTAGAAATTTTAAGAATCCAGGTCTTAGTTTGACTGCAAGTTTGCCGTCCGACAACCATCTTTGCAAACTCCAAAAAACTGGTCTGAACCCCTTTGTCAGTAAAAATACTGAAAAGCCATTCGAGTGTACAAAACAAAAAAATTAATATTGATTGTTTTTTAGTTAAAAAAAGTAATATTTTTATTGCCAAAACAACTGAAAATTTAATTTACAAACTCTCCGCCATTTTTATTTTCTCCAACCATGGGCTAACACCCAAAAGACCATGGTTGAGCAGCCAGTGAGAGCACACGATTTGTGATATACCATAAGTTGTTGGACACTAATGAAGAATATGCTATTCTTAACTTCCTGTCGTAGGAGTCAACAGAAGAGAACTGTGCAATGTTTGGTGAGCCAGTTATATACAAAGAGATTCGTTCTATTGGYACACAGACAGACGATGATGGCTGTGAAAATGGTTGTACTTCCATGTACGTCAATACTTCAAACCAAGATATAAGTCACATAGAAACATCTCCAC